TTTCTTGTAATTTGGTAATAACCATGTTAACTGTAGTTCACAGCAACCGCATTTAGAATTGAAACAATAGATCAACTATGTTTACTTTCGGCTAGATTATTCACTGAACTCGCAAATGTTCTTTACCAATTGGATGAAGGAAAGAATTCATGTTTTCAAGTATTGAATCCTAATCGCATGTTGAAACATTTCTAAAGCTAAGCCCAATACTCTACCTCTTTACAAGATAGAAAAGTTCTGATTAAATTGTAATATTTTCAGGATCATTTTGAATCCACACTTCTGATTTAAAATCTTTGATTGCCCGTTATGACACTGAGTCTATTGTAGTCTATCATTGTGCTAGTTGCATTTTTTTGAGAATTTTCTCCATAAAAGTGTACGAGGACAGGAATTTGTTTTGTTTTATGTATATGTATGTATATGTATGTATGTTATTGGTCAAATACACGGTAGATGTAACCGGACCCATTCTGGTATGTGCTATCAGTCAGTGTAGATCCAGTGAACTTTTACTCCTTGAAGGGTCGTGACCGCAATAAAATAGTTTTCAACTTGGTGTCTGCATAAAACTCGGTGTTCAAAACCCACATCATGTGTGTTGCTTACCTTTGGTCCAAAAGCGACTAGTTTGAGCAAACACTCCATGGTGAACATGGCAGTGAATGCCGTGTTCAGATAGACCAGAGTGCTGCAATAGTTCTGATATTTTTGTGTGTCCAAATCCGGTGTAGTTGATCCGGTTTCCGTGTGATCTGGTCGATAATACTATGGTGTGTGTAAAAGAGAGATAAAGTGAAACAGTAAACATATAGATGCGAATGTTGTTCAATCACGTCATGTCTTCAAGTATTTTACTAATTCATGCGCTAAACTTGAACGTTGAATTGACTCCGACGTTGTGAGATTGATCCCACAAACCGACACACCAGGAACACCACTACTAAGTGGTGTGCCCTGGCATGTAGACTCATTTGTTTACGAATCCTAATATTGGAATGTGCGATTGTGTAGTAAACGAAGATAAACTGGTACTACAGTTGCTAATAGTTCTATGTTCACTCGTTATTCGTGTCCGTAGTAATGCAGATGCCGTTAATCTGTGTGAAGTAATTCGAATTTTGATAGCATTGAGGTACCCTTACAGAAAACAAGGAGCACCGCAAGAAGTCACGAGAGTTGGTTTAACACAGTGAACCTTAATGATTAGTGAACTATCGCGGAAGCTATAATTTTAATACAAAATGCTGTGCTCACCGTTCGGTAATATTGCTGACAAATTTAGAAAATGTCACTACTTGGGGTTTTGGTTTCTTGGAACAAAGAAAACGCGTCAAGATCATGGTCCAGAAATTTTCAAAGGGAAGATAGTCAACATAAGGTTCGTCGTAGGACTACTTGTAAGTAAGTTCAGAGATGGGATAGGAATACTGCTAAGTTCCACAGGCGAGAGTGTTTATAGTGGATCAAGAACCGGGATTGCATCACGACGAGACTGCACCTTGACGTGGTGTGATGGTTTGCGTG